TGTGTCTTCAAAATTGTTGTCTGATTAGATTGTATTGACCTATTGTTTCTTACTAAATAGACTTTAATGAAAACAAACACCATCATATTTTTCCTTGTTTAATTAAGAAGAGAAATAAAAATATAAGTAATAGAATTATTTTTAATAATAAAAAAAATATGCTGTTGAACTGACATTATGTGGTGTTAAGGACAGTAGAAGAATGAAAACATTTTGTAAGCAATCATCTAAACTGTAAACATGAACACACACAAAACTTACTTTTTCTGTGCTTGTGACATTATTTAATTATGTTGTACTATGAGGTTATTACGGGAAAACCTCAAAGTATGCACAAAAACAGTACAGCAGGAGTATCGACCGATGTGCAACAGAGGTCGATGCGACAGCGTACTGCCTGAGTGCATACTTTTAGGTATCCTCTTAAGAACCTAATTACTATACACCTTTTCCTTTCAATGATACATCATGGGAATGCCGAAATACAAAAACTTTAGAACAGAATCGGCAAACTAATTCGCATCAGTATTTCTCATGTTATAGATGAAATCATTTTCTCAGATTCTATGATGTCATACTCTACCCATAATTCTTTGCTTGACGAATCAAGATGGCTGACTACATAAATTGATAAAAAGTTGAATATCTAGAGAATGAAAAGTGATATAAAAAACCTGTAAATTGCATGTTCTTACATTTGCTGAGCTCTTTTATCTGGGAGTATTATGTTGTTAGCCTTGACTTTCCCATTAAGTATCAGTTTTGTACACATGAATCACATCAAGTTTATCCATTCTCAACACTTCATATGTCGACAATTGACTTGTAGTAAATATATCCTGTATACTCATTGGTACTTTTGTTTTATTACAGAATTCAAGACATTTGCATTATATTTGCTGCTATCGTACTCTTTCTTATGTTCTTCAATACATACGTTTTCCAAGCTGGTCTTGTGGGTTTACTTATTGGCAAGTTTAAGCTGGCTATTCTCATGGTCTTTATTTATTTTATGCTTTGTATAGGATTACATATATGGACTATGGTAAGTTCCTTGACATTTCCATACATTGGAAATTATGTCTTAAATTCTAACCAAAATTTGGGCAATCATGAACAAATTTGATGAAGTCACAGCTACTGTATTTGCTCTGTAAGAAGTGAATTGTCTCACGTGCATTGTAATTGGCTTCTTGAAAGATTAATATAAATTGCTGTGTTTGGTTTTATCTCACCAAATCACATATTTTGTTGGCCAGCATGCACCCCACTGTTAAATTTGTGCTTCTAATAGAGTAAATATAATACAAACTTGCGCGATATCATGAACATGTGTCTCCTACATGTATGTGTGAAAGCAACTTGCTGTATTGTGTATTATTTTACACTTGGAATTCACTTCCATGATCCAGAGATAGATAATTAAAATCCTGTAAACATTTCTTGCTTTAAACTCCTTATAAATGCATCTCTCACCCCAGGATACAAACAGCATAGTGGTATTGCCACAGTGCTTTGTTTTACATGTAGCACCATACTGGTCTTGACAGTTTTCTCTCTTGCTTATAAACTGCATGGCATTATCATCCCAGTGCTTTGTTTTACATGTAGCACCATACTGGTCTTGACAGTCTTCTCTCTAGCTTACAAACTGCATGGCAGTATCATCCCAGTGCTTTGTTTTACATGTAGCACCAAACTGGTCTTGACAGTCTTCTCTCTAGCTTACAAACTGCATGGCAGTATCATCTTAGTGCTTTGTTTTACATGTAGCACCATACTGGTCTTGACAGTCTTCTCTCTAGCTTACAAACTGCATGGCAGTATCATCTCAGTGCTTTGTTTTACATGTAGCACCATACTGGTCTTGACAGTCTTCTCTCTAGCTTACAAACTGCATGGCAGTATCATCCCAGTGCTTTGTTTTACATGTGGCACCATACTGGTCTTGACAGTCTTCTCTCTAGCTTACAAACTGCATGGCAGTATCATCCCAGTGCTTTGTTTTACATGTAGCACCATACTGGTCTTGACAGTCTTCTCTCTAGCTTACAAACTGCATGGCAGTATCATCCCAGTGCTTTGTTTTACATGTAGCACCATACTGGTCTTGACAGTCTTCTCTCTAGCTT